TGCTTTGATTTTTTAATTTTTGAGCCTCCAAGTTGTGCATCAACACCCTTGTCACGATCTTTCTGCAACATTTCGGTGATAGAGTCCAAAGAGTCTCCGTAATTGAAATTCATCGCATCAACAACCTTGCCGACTTCTGAGAGGTGCAGGACTACTAGTGACCTTTTAGGCTCATCGTCTTCTTCATCCTTTGGGGGTTGATCTAGTAAGTGATAGGACAAGCGGATTGCCATGAACACACCACCTGCCATTTCCATAGGCTCTACTACTTCCAAATGTTTGCTGAAAGACATTTCCATCCCAATGCAAGTTCTCACTCTTATCAGCCATCAGGGGTTCAATCCTCCTCTTCCAAAGTTGTAATCAATCAAGGGGTACTGGCTAGGCTCCGGGGTATTAGTTTTTTTTGGGAGTTTCAGAGGTTTTGATGCCACTCTTTTCATTAGAATCTTCTTCCCGTACGCCATGGCCATAACGATTTTTCTTTGCCTTTTGCTGATGAAAGGGATAGTTGGGGGTGGTTAAGGAGGGCACCAGAAAACACACTAGAGATAAGCACCTTGGGAGACTCTGCTTCATGATGGAGGACCTGAGATTTCATTGCATGCACTGATGTTTCCTATACTCGGTGGTGTCCTTCCACACACATGTCCCCAACACAGCTAGGTAGATCTTTGAGTACAACAAATCTATTTTGGATAGAGATGGGAGCCGACTTTTCATTTGAATTTTGAGATACAACATTTAAGTTTTTGTTGGCATCATACTTTACTACCCACCGTTGAACAATGCGCTTCCCAATGAAAGCGGTGCTTGATTGCGATGAACGGCCAGAATTGCTTCAAGATGCATTCGATTCTTGCGGTTTTCATGCCGTCGTACTAGGTCGGCCATCGATGCTCACAGAGATCCCCATGATTTGTGCTTCATTAGACTTAGGGACATTCGAATCAGCAGAAGTACTGACATCATTGTTTTGGTTGCTATTGTCTTGTGTGGAGCTGATTTCCTTAAAGGTCAAGGGAAAATCGAATAGATCAACTTTCATAATACATGAGGCACGACTCTTGACTTCTTTTTTCTCTACTTGAAATATTAGCGAGTGATACGATGTTTTTGTCCAATCAATCTTAATTAGAGTCCCACATAAGCTAGCAATTTCTTTAAAAACTTCCATCGACCACGCTATAACTGGTATACTGCTCACTGAAAAATATGCAGACCTGAGTTTAATGAGAGATTTTTCCATGGTTGGGACCCATTTTTCAGCTGTCAATTCCACATCTCAAAACCTCCAAAATTTCTGTTTTATCACTTTGGCTACTTCATTGCTCGATCCAAGAAAACATATAGCTTTATTTTCAGGGATACTTCTATATAGGCTAGGGGTCGAAGTCCAAGATTTGTCCACCTATCTCTGAAAAGCCGCAATGTCTGTACCTTTAGAGAGAAGATACGACAACACTAGATTGGATACGTTGGAGTCCATCTTTGACAACATTATCACCTACCATAATCACTGGATCAACACAATGATCAAACCTAGTAGAAGAGCGAAGAATTTGATGCTTTACTCCATCCTTAACTTCTTCCTTCTCCATCACTCCTATCTCCCCCATAGGTGATGAAAATTCACTCAAACTTCGATGGAAAGGAGTTCTCTCATAGGCGAACTCTCAAATAATTTGTGACTTTGACTTGCGTTTTATTCATAGTAACCACCCAAGAGCAGCCTCCACCTCAACCTTTTATCAAACACTTGGAATACCCCCTGCTCAAAACCAAAACTCCTTTCCTTTTTGACCCAAGCCAAGATCTCCCAATTCTTCTTCTCTCTCAAGTGTCTCTAGACCTTCTCAAACCTCATATTTCTTTCTTCTTCTTCTCCTTCTAAGAAACAACACAATTTGAATCTTCTCTCTCTAAAACCCCAAAAGCCTCTCTCTTCTCCTCCATGTATCGCTCTGCCATGAGTAGGAGAAGAGCTTCGCAGCTGGAGCCTTTGAATAGTTCAATTAGACTTTCACAAACTTTGAATTTCTTTAGACCAAAGGTTCTACTGATTTCGATACCTAGGAACCATTTCTCCAGCTCCAAGCCTTGCTGAGACCTTGAATCTCATCTTCCAACCTTAGATCATCTCAGGCCATTAACTCACATCAAACATTATGCAAGTCAATCCTTTCTCTCTCTAGAACTCCTTGTATATTTATGCCCAAGTCTTCCCCTTTCTCTCTCTAGAACTCTGTATAAAATTTAACATGCACCTTCATTTTCTCAAAGCCCCAAAGAAGAATGTCTCGAGGTTTGAGGCCTCACTCCCCCTGGTTATTTCTCCCTCCCAGAGTGCTTGTGTAAAAAATGGCCAAATATTCTATGGGGCCCTAGTAGCCCACGAGTGTATCACTCAAGACATTTAGCAAAACTACCTGATCTCATCGTCAAATTAGATTGGGAAAAGCGTATGACCATGTCGACTGGGAAATTTTGGAAGAAACGCTTACAAGAATGGGTTTCGGGAGCCGATGGAGAAAACGGATGAAAGTATGTTATTCCCAACCTTTCTTCTCTATTCTCATTATCGGATCACCTAAAGGCCATTTCCCTTCTTCAAGTTGATTAAGGCAGGGTAATCCCCTTTCCCCATTCCTTTTTGCCATTTCGGTAGAAGTTTTTAGTCAGTCCATTTCTAAGATGTTCGCCTCTGGTAGAATGAATTGCTTTAAATGTGGAAACCAAAGCCCTATAGTCACCCATCTCCAATACGCAAACGATACCCAGGTATTCTGCAATGCTTCCCCTCTTGAACTCGACAACCTTTTCATTTTTCTTAGATGCTTCGAGTTCGCAACGGGATTCAAAGTAAACTTCAACGAGTCCAAGATAATGGGGATAGATTTCCAAATTACTGTCTTTTGCAGATAATTTGGGATGAGAGGCAGAACATCTTCCTTCTAATTATTTGGGCCTACCCTTTGCATCGGAAATCAAAAAAGTGCAGTGCTTGTGATCGTATAATTTAGATAAGGTGGATTGTTTACTCGCAGGCTGGAAGGGCCGCGTCCTATCCCCGGCTAGGAGGTTAACTCTCATCACGGCTACCCTTGCCAATATTTTTGTGCACCAGATGTCTCTTTTTCACAAGCCTGCAGCAATGATTTCTCAGCTGGAATGATCTTTTGCAGTTTCTTTTGGTCTGGTGAGGCTGTGAACCACAAGTTCCACTTAATTTCATGGGAGAAACTGTGTCAACCAAAGAGATTAGGGGGTCTAGGTATCCGAAATTTGAGGAAGCATAACTAGGTTTTACTCGAAAAATAGTAGTGGTGCCTTGCCACCCAAAGAGACCGGTTATTGATTGACATCTTGAGGCACAAATATCGCCTCGCACCCTCTTATTGGGTGCCTGAGTACAAGGCAAACAATGGATCTTCCGGGATTTGGATATATATCTCTTCCCCGGCCATTTTCAAAAGCCTCATACACATTCACCTGAGAGTAGGAAGCCGAGTTCTTTTTTGTATGACCTTTGGTTAGGGCAAGAATCCCTCAAAGATCAGTACCCAGATCTCTATTTACTGGCTCATTTCCAAGGGGCATTGGTGGCAGATGAGATGACTATGGCTGACCCTTTTCGAACTTGGAACCCAGTTTTTTAGAAGAGCTCTTATCGACTCAGAAATTTTACTTCTCTGAGCTAGCTGCTGCCCTTCAAAATTGTTTCCTCGCTTTTTTGGGGGTGGACCTCAATATATGGACTCCTTGTCCCTCGGGTATTTTCTCGGTCTCATCCTTCTATCACAAACTTCTACAACCACCCACCTTCCCTCTCTCACCAACATCCCCAGCAGCCCAAGTTTGGTCCTCTTTCGCCCCTCCAAAAATTGAAGTCTTCATGTGGCTAGCTCTTTCCCAGAGGGTGCTCACCATGAACCATCTTCAGAGAAGAGCCATTCCTCTCCCTAATCGAAGTGCTCTATGCATTGCGGACGAGGAGAGCAATGCCCATGCCCATCTATTCCTACACTGCCCCTTAGCCCACAAGCTCTGGGGAAAAGTTCTTCGCCTATTCAAATGCCAATGGGCCTTACTGGTCCATCGTAACCCAGCTCCTAAACTCTCTTCAACCATTCCCCTGGCATAAATCAGGCATCTTATTGTGGAAATCCTTGGTGGCAGCTACTATTTGGGCCTTGTGGATCAAGCGCAACAATAGGATTTTCTGGGGTGAACACATATCCAGGTCTGCCCTTTTCACCATGATCAAATGCTGGGTTGTTTTCTGGGCAACCAACCACAAGAACTTCAAAGGCGTACCCCACTCTGACTTCTATCAAAATTGGGAAGCCATTCTTCTCTTTAGACACTATCGCTTACCTCAAGCTTCCCTTTGGAGACCTCCCGACCTGGGACAAATTAAGCTCAACTTCGATGGCTACTCCCTGGGCAATCCTGGCCCATCGGGAATTGGGGCCCTCCTCAGGGACCACAGTGGATCCATCTTCGCTTCAATCTCTAAACACATTGGCCACGCCGACTCAATGACAGTTGAAGCTTTGGCGTTATTTGAGGGGATCAGACTTCTAGACCCCTACAGGAATGCCTCGATTATCATTGAGGGAGATTCAAAGAATATTATTGGTTGGGAATCAAACTCTTCTCCCTTAACATTGGCCCTGGCCCACATTTTTTATGAAATTGCACACCTATACAGGAATATAATCATCTCATGGAGGCATATTTGGCGGGAATCAAACCAGGAAGCCGACACCCTCGCTAAGGACGCTGCGTCACTGGTTATGGGCTCTTTATAGACAGTTCATGTAATTAACTTGTAATGAAGGCCTATAGTTTGTTTCTACACTGCACCCCTTATGGAAATGTGTTTTTTCGTATATAGAGCTTCCACTTTGTGGATAGCCTATTTTTTGGAAACCTTGTATCTTTTTAATTATTAATACAATGTTAACATGTTCAAAAACAAAAGAAGAGATTCATTGCTAAGTGATGTGCTTACCATTTACAAGATTTAGAATAGCAGCACAACTTGTGTTCAAAGTTGGTTGTAGAAGGGGACCAATCACGAATGCCGGATTTATTGTCACCAAGTCAATCCCCTTCTCCTTCGCAAAATCCCATGCAGCTTTCTCAGCTAAGGTTTTTGATAGGACATACCAGTTCTGCCAGAACAAAAGAAGCACTTCAGAAAAATAATCCAACAAACACAAATTACTACAAATATCATTGAGAAACACATGATATTTCACCATAGGGATGCCCACAGAAAACAGAAACCACATATTGAAAAGATAAAATGCAATGTAAATAGAACATTGACAAAAAAAATAGAAAGCCAAATGTGGACGACAACAGTAGAGGCAACTATCACAACATGAGTTGTACTCAAGTATGAGCGAGAGTGTGTGTGCGTGGAGAGAGAGAGAGAGAGAGAGAGAGAGGAGAGAGAGAGAGAGAGAGAGAGAGAGAGAGAGAGAGAGAGAGAGAGAGAGAGAGAGAGAGAGGAGGAGGAGGAGGAGGAGGAGGAGGAGGAGAGAGAGAGAGAGAGAGAGAGAGAGAGAGAGAGAGAGGAGGAGGAGGAGGAGGAGGAGGAGGAGGAGGAGGAGGAGGAGGAGGAGGAGGAGAGAGAGAGAGAGAGAGAGAGAGAGAGAGAGAGAGAGAGGAGGAGGTAGTAGTAGTTACGTTTACTTACTCGTACGAGTATATATACTACTACTACGTACGTTACGGTTCGGTACGGAACGAACGAACGAACGTAACGTAACG